TAATAACAATTTTCTTTAAAAGGGAAAATGTCAGGCCTATCAAATTTGGATCCGTTAGAACCTAGCACATGGCTGATGGGAATGTAAAGTGATTCAGCTGCAGAAAATAGTTTTGCAGTTCCTCAAATACTTAGATAGAATTACTGTAAGATCCATCAATTTCACTCCTAGGTATTATATGTAAAGGAGTTGAAAACAGGCAGTCACGCGAAACTTGTATGTGAATGTTTATAGCAGCACTATTTACAAAAGCCAAAGGTGGAAACAATCCAATGTCCATCAACATTGGATTGAGGGGATAAACAAAATGTTGTTCATCCACACAGTGGAGTATTACTCTGCCATAAAAAAGGAATGAAGTACTGCTGAAAAACGTGTCAAGTGCAAAAAGTTAGACACACACCCACACACACACACAAATCACAAATTATCCTATTGCTTTATGTGAAAATACCAGAGGCTGGTGGCTCAAGCCTGTAGTCCTAGCTTCTCGAAGACTGAGATCTGGAGGATCATGGTTCGAGGCCAACCTGGGCAAATAGTTCTTGAGACCCTGTCTCCAAAATAACCAGAGCAAAATGGACTAGAGGTATGGCTTAAGTGGCGGGAGAGCACCTACTTTGCAAGTGTGAAGCCCTGAGTTCAAACCCCAGTCCCACCAAAAAAAAAAAAAAATTCAGAACAGGTAAATTCATAGAAACAGTGCAAATTAGTGATTGTGAGGGAGTGGGGCGAGAAAGTGGAGAGACTGCTTAATGTGTGTGTGGTTTCCTGTGGTGAAATGTTTTGGAACTGGGTAGAGATCATATTGAAACAACATCAATGTGTTAAGTGCTATCAAAGTGTAGCCCTTAAACATAATTATTTTTAATTTCTAGTTTTTCAAGAGACTCGCTACATTGCCCAGAGTCTGGGCTCAAGCGATTCTCTTGCCTCAGCCTCCTGAATAGCTGGGATTATAGGCATGTACCATTGTGTCTAAAATGGTTTAATTTTGTTAATTAAAAATTCAGGCCTCAAAAAAAATTCAGGCCTTGTTAGCCTGGATCTCGTGATTACATTCCATATACACTGCCTTCATTCCTTATCTTATTCTATCTAGCCTCAGAGCTCTAATATTTTTTATAAATTCAGGAAGTACAGAAGCACCTGTAATGCCACCACAAGACACTTCTGTGAACATTACATTTAAAGATGTTTACCTGTTCCTTTATGAATGGGCACATACAAAATGTCTATTTTTCACTACACATACTGTTTCATTACTAAACATAACAGACGTGAGATCTAAATTATATGTAATATATATATTTATATCAGGGATTGACAAATTATGATCTTGAAACCAAACTTGATCTTCTGTCATTTTTTTTGGAAAGCCAGCAAGCTAAGGATGGTTTTATGTTTTTAGGTGACTCGGGTAAAACTACTATTTCAGGACATGTTAAAATGTTATAAATTTCAAATTTCTACGTCCATAAAAATATTATCAGGACTCTGCCATGTTTTGAGTTAACCAGTCTTTATGGATGCTTGGCACTGCAGTGGCGGCGTGACGTGGTTCTGATAGATCGAATGGTCCACAAAACCAGAGTATCCTATCTGACCCTTTGCAGCAAGGCCATTTACTTTCTATTATGTGGATACACACAATTTATTTAACCTGTTCTTTATTGAAAGCTACATTCTTGCCAGCTTTTACATTTATTTTGTCTTATTTTTTATTTTATTTTATTTTATTTATTTTGCAGTACTGGGGCTTAAACTCAAGGCCTACACCTTGAGCCACTCCACCAGCCCTTTTTTGTGTTGGGTATTTTCAAATTAGGGTCTTTTTTTTTTCTTTTATTATTCATATGTGCATACAAGGCTTGGTTCATTTCTCCCCCCTGCCCCCACCCCCTCCCTTACCACCCACTCCGCCCCCTCCCTCTCCCCCCCCACCCCCTCGATACCCAGCAGAAACTATTTTGCCCTTATTTCTAATTTTGTTGAAGTTAGAATATAAGCAATAACAGGAAGGGACAAGGGTTTTTGCTGGTTGAGATAAGGATAGCTATACAGGGCATTGAATCACATTGATTTCCTGTGCGTGGGTGTTACCTTCTAGGTTAATTCTTTTTGATCTCACCTTTTCTCTAGTTCCTGGTCCCCTTTTCCTATTGGCCTCAGATGCTTTTAAGGTATCTGCTTTAGTTTCTCTGCGTTAAGGGCAACAAATGCTAGCTAATTTTTTAGGTGTCTTACCTATCCTCACCCCTCCCTTGTGTGCTCTCGCTTTTATCATGTGCTCAAAGTCCAATCCCCTTGTTGTGTTTGCCCTTGATCTAATGTCCACATATGAGGGAGAACATACGATTTTTGGTCTTTTGGGCCAGGCTAACCTCACTCAGAATGATGTTCTCCAATTCCATCCATTTACCGGCGAATGATAACATTTCGTTCTTCTTCATGGCTGCATAAAATTCCATTGTGTATAAATACCACATTTTCTTAATCCATTCGTCAGTGCTGGGGCATCTTGGCTGTTTCCATAACTTGGCTATTGTGAATAGTGCCGCAATAAACATGGATGTGCAGGTGCCTCTGGAGTAACAGTCTTTTGGGTATATCCCCAAGAGTGGTATTGCTGGATCAAATGGTAGATCGATGTCTAGCTTTTTAAGTAGCCTCCAAATTTTTTTCCAGAGTGGTTGTACTAGTCTACATTCCCACCAACAGTGTAAGAGGGTTCCTTTTTCCCCCGCATCCTCGCCAACACCTGTTGTTGGTGGTGTTGCTGATGATGGCTATTCTAACAGGGGTGAGGTGGAATCTTAGCGTGGTTTTAATTTGCATTTCCTTTATTGCTAGAGATGGTGAGCATTTTTTCATGTGTTTTCTGGCCATTTGAATTTCTTCTTTTGAGAAAGTTCTGTTTAGTTCACTTGCCCATTTCTTTATTGGTTCATTAGTTTTGGGAGAATTTAGTTTTTTAAGTTCCCTATATATCCTGGTTATCAGTCCTTTGTCTGATGTATAGTTGGCAAATATTTTCTCCCACTCTGTGGGTGTTCTCTTCAGTTTAGAGACCATCAAATTAGGGTCTTGAGAACTATTTGCTCAGGGCTGGCTTTGAACTGTAATCCTTCTGATCTCTGCCTCCTGAGTAGCTGGGATTACAGGTATGAGCCACCAGCACCCAGCTGTTTTTTACATTCTAAAATGTCTGTCTTCACCTGTCTACATCACTTTATACACATATATTAACTATTTTCTTTAGACAGGATCCTAGAAGTAGGATTAGTAAAACACCTGTCCTGCATTATTAAATTATGATGATGAATTTTTTTGTGAAACTGGAGTTTGAACTCAGGGCCTCACACTAAGTGCTCTACCACTTGAGCTACACCCCAGCCCTTTTCATTTTAGCTTACTTTTCAGGTAGGCTCTCATGCTTTTTGCCCAGGGCTGGCCTCAGACTGGGATCTTCCTACCTTCACCTCCGGCATAGCTTGAAATTACAACATGTGCCACCACACCCAGCTTGGGTTTTGTTTGTTTTGTAGTACTGGGGCTTGAACACAGATCCTCATGCTTGCTAGGAAGGTACTCTACCACTTGAGCCGCAGCCCTCAGCCTGTTTTTGCCTTTTAGTTATTTTTCAGGTGGGGTCTCACGTTTTTGCCAGGGGCCAGCCTCAGACCATGTCTATCTATAGCCTCCATCTTGGCTGGGATTATAGACAGGCAGAGACATCTAACCCTCTTTAAGGTACACCAATATATAACAGTGTGAGAGTGTCTCTTTTGCTCCAACTTGCTAATATGTTACCAGAATGTAAAGTGTTGTCACTTTAACACATCTTCTTAATTAGTGACATTTACTATTGTTTGATAGGTTACATCTGTTACTATTCTTGCTCTTGTTTCAAGAAGTGTAAAAGGAAATTCTGGGTACCAGTGACATGAGGAAAGTTGAAAAAAGAACTGGCTTTGCGGTTGGAGAATTGTGGTTTCAGAATTCAAACGTCCATATTAACTGTGGATTTAGGTTTCTGTTTTCTTATGTTTGAAATGAAGGTAACAGCATTGTACAGCTAGTCCAAGTGTCCATATACAAGGCATGCTTCACGTAGAAGTTGTTTTTTTAAACTGGTACAGGAATCATAAATTCACTTTTGTTCCTAGTTGTGGTACCCAAGGAGAGAGCAGGTTGAATGATGTCAGGCAAAAAAATGCTGTGGATTATTCTGATTGGGGAAAATGGGGAGTGGTGGGCCCGAAGGATTCTGGGAGTTTGAATTCAGGTTAGAGGAAGGAATCTCAGTGTGCAAGTCCACTTTTACACTTACAAAGGCCGCCGTGAATTGTCTGATCTGGGGTTCAGAAAGCTTCATGTTAACAGAGGAGCAAATGATACATTTCAGGCTCTGTGGTCCATTCCGTCTGTGTTCAAGCTACTCTACTTGGCTATTACAGCTTTCTAAAAGTAGCCACAGACAGGAGTAGACAAATGAGCATGACTGGGTTCCATTCAAATTTTATTTCCAAAAATATATGGTAGGCCACATTTGGCCATGGATGTAGTTCCTAGGGCTCCAGTCTACCTCTGTCTTGTGCCTTCAAGCCTGGGGAAGGCAGGGAAGTCTTAAAACTGTGCAGGCAGCTGTCTGCTTTGGATCGTGTGGTCGGTTTTGGAAGCTGAGAGTGGAGAGTGGAGAGGATCCCTGCAGGGAAGTTCTGAGCATCCAGTCTCAGGTCTAGGTCAGCTTCCTCCTCATGGGGACCAGCCAAGCACCCTCCTGAATCTACTGGTCATGTGTTCTAGTACAGATGGACCTCTGTTCTGTGTCCACCTTGTACAACAGCCCAGGTGGACTGAGAGTATCTGGAGAAAAGGTGAGGGAAGAGTGAGACAGGTGCCTGCAGGTGAGAATGGAGAATAGATTATTTCTATCCTTTTGTTACTTTCGAGACATGCATGGTCTTACTGCTTGGGTTTTTTCCTCTCCCAATTAGGCTTGTCAGAACTTTGCTTCTCCAGAAGAACCCTGAGGAACACTGACCAATTCTTGTGATTCCAGAACCATGGCACATGTAAGTTGCTGTTTCCCTTTCCTTCCCGAGAGTTCTGTTAGTACTGTTTTTTGTTGGTGTTGTTTCTGTTCTGAACTCAGGGCTTCAACACTAGGCCAGTGCTCTACCCCTTGAGCCACATCTCCAGTCCATTTTTGCTTTTCGTTTGTTTTTCAGATAGGGTTTCATGGTACCTTCTCCTGGACTGCTCCTCCTGCCTCTGCCTCCTGTGTGTCTGGAACCACAGAAGTGTGCTCAGTTGAGAGTCTTTTTGTAAAAAGTCATTTGAAAGCATTTTACTTCTTTGTACTGAAATGTTCTATCTAGCAGAATTTTCTCTAATCTCACCTAACACCTCCTATAGCCCCCTCTCTTCTCAAACAAGTACCCACTGTGCATTGACCAGTCGTCCAGTGCTGGCTCTCCATTCACTCTGCCTGGGAGCAGAGTCCTCAGGGGGAGGAATTTGAGCAACCCTCATAAGATCTGAGGTGTAACCAAACAAGATGGCTCATTTCATCGCACGTGAGAAAACTGACGTTTTCCACAGATCGGTGTCTGTAGACAAAGGTCAGACTCAGTACGTGTTTGAGTATTTTATAGAGTGACCAGGGGATCTTTCCTGTGAATGTCTGAGAGATGAAAACCTATGATAGGGCCCAGCTGAATGTGCTGGGATTGACACCTGCGGGATTCCGGTTCATTCAATGTCAATATTCTTTATCTCAGGAACATCACAAAATTGACTTTTCCTGTGATGCTGGGGCTGAGCCCCAGGGCTTAGAGGCAAGTACTCTACCATTAAACTACATAAACAGCCAGATTAGCTATTATATAACTGACTAAAATATTTTGTAAGCCAGGCATGGTGGCACATGTCTGTAGTCCCAGCTGCTCAGGAGGCTGAAGAAGGAGGATCACTTGAACCCACAACTTTGAGATCAGCCTGGGAAACACAGCAAATACTTCATCTCAAAAAATTGTAATAAGAATTTGTCAAAACAAGGAGAAATTAGGATATAATGACATAGTAGAAAAATTGAAGCATAATGAAGTTCTTTAATTTTATGCAAACCCATTGTTCTAAGAAAGATTTTTATGTAGCAAAAAAGTCATTGATTTTTTAAATTCTCACACAGTTTAATAAAGAAGCATCACCATCCTGTAATCATTCAGGAATGCGTTGACAGGATTCACTATATCATATTCAATTTTCATAGCTGGAGGCATAGATTCATCTATGCAAATATTACTGAGCACCAACTATGGGCTCAGAGCTGTTGAGGTTTTAGAGGTACAGAGCAGAAAAAGACAAGGTTCTTAAACTCATGGAGGTTATGTTGTAGAGGAGGAAACACAATAAGAAGGTAAAAATAGGAAATGCAACTTGAGAGGTTGTTATGGTTTTGGTTTTGCTTTTGGTGGGATTGGGTTTTGAACTCTGGGCTTCATGCTTGCAAGCCAGCCGCTCTTCCACTTGAGCCACTCCATCAGCGTGAGTGGTATAAAGCAATCCACATGATGATTTATTTCAAAAGTGATGGGGGACTGAGTGCTTTAGATAGGCTGGTCAGAGATTGCATTTGGAAGCGATGCCTATGTGACATGAAGGAGATAAATAAGTAACCTATATAAATGCATGAGAAAAAAGCATCCGGGCAAAAGGAACAGTAATAGCTCTGCAGCAGGAAAACGCTCGGTGTGTCTGAGGAAGAGAATAACAAGTAGCAGGGGAGGAGTGAACAGGAATGGGGTGGGACCAGTGGCAAAAGACGAGATTGGAGCAACAGCAGTGGCTCAGATGTAGGGATTGTATGATACAGGATGGCCTTTGGATGTTACTCAGAGTAAAATGGATCCCTTGGGAAGATATAATGTAGGACTGTGACAGGATCTGGCCTGTGTTTGAAGAGCGTCATGTCCGCTGCTCTGTTGGGAACAGATGAGGAGATGCTGGAGTGTCGGGCAAGGATGGTGGCACAGAAGCTAGGTAGGAGGCTACCACAACAATCCAGGATGTTGGTGTTGTGAACCAAGATGACAAATGGTGAGGCTGGTAGGAAGTGAGTGGATCCTGTGTACATAATTGAAGGTAGAGCCGTAGGCTTTGTTGAAGGATTGGGCATGAAGTTTGTAAGAATGCCAAGGTTCTGAGCATGGGCACCTGGAAGAAAAGAGCTGCCATTTACTGACGTGGGAGTAAGCTTTGGAGGGAGGCAGATGGGAATTCGGTTTTGCAGATGGTAAGATTAACATACTATTAGTCACCCAAGTAGAGAGGCATGATTTTTTTTAACTGAAGGAAAACAATGTTGTATTTCCTTATATCCACTATTTCATTTAATTGGGAAACTATTTGTCTCCAGAAAGTTTGCATAATTTTTTAAATCCCACAATATTTAAAGAAATGTACATTATAACAATTAGATTCTTCAAAAAAAAGTGGGTGACTCTACTTCAGAACACCAGTGTCATTTCTGTCTCCTACCTTTGTCACAAGTTTGCTGCCCTGCTGTTTTGGTATAGTCCTCCTTGCTGCAATGAAATCTTTCATCTCCTCTTCTTTCTTAAATCCGTAGATAGAATTTCACCAGTAACTTGTTGGTTTACTGTTTCAGACATCAGTGACATTCAAGGATGTGGTTATAAACTTCTCTCGGAAAGAGTGGGAGTGCCTGGACCCTGCTCAGAGGGACTTGTACAGGGATGTCATGTTGGAGACCTACAGCAACTTGGTCTCACTGGGTAAGGTCATTTCCCTTAAGTAATTTAAACGCTGCTCTCTGAAGCGGTATCTTTCTCTTCCAGGAATTCAGGACTGTTTGTTTGTCGATTTGTTTTTTGTGTATTTGTTTGTTTTGTGGTGTTGGGGATCACACCCACAATCTCAAACATGTGCCATAGCACTGAGTTATAATCCTAGCCCTTTAGAACCTTTTTGAATGAAAGAATCTAAATTTCTTTCCTTTCCTCAATGGATTGAACTTTGTTGTTTTATAAATGACATTTTCCCTAAATACTGCCCTTTTTGCCATGCTTTCCTGGTCTTCACAAAACTCTCCTTAATCCACTTCTCCACTCATGTCTTCCCTGATGATTGAGGGACTGAATTAGAATTCTGGCACATTTATTCTAAAGCCAATATCAGAGAAACTGGGTTTTACACTGTATTTGAGTTTTGAAGTGATTTGGATAACCCATTACTTGATGGTCTGCCTGCAAGGAGAACAGTTCACCGTTCCACCCAGTGTCTACAATTTATGTCAATGTTTAGCTGAACAAAATTTATTTAAAATTAAACACATTCCATTTCTTACAAAAAACATTTTCTTTTGTTTGACTTGTGATTTAAAATCCATTAACATAGCATTTAACTTAACAAGAGCCAAGGTTCTTAACAAGAACCTCAAACTATCTAAGGAAGCTTCTTGTTTTTCTCTAGGTAAATTTGTACCAACAAAATCATAATAGCTAATAGAGTGCTTACTATATCAGAGATACTGTTTTAAGTTCTGTTTTGATTTGACTTTGTCCTGCCAGGAATGGAACCCTGGCCTCACACATGATAGGCAAGCGCTCTACCTCTGAGCCACAGCCCAGCCCACACTGTTGTAAGTTCTAAGCATTATCTATCAGATAGGTACTATTTTTATTTTCATTTTACATGTGAGAAAACTGAGGCCCCCAAAATTTAAGTGATTTCCTTCAATCATTATTCTACTTACTAATGGCAGAGCAGAATTTGAACCCACACTCTCTGGACCTAGGTCTATGCTCTCAAATACTGCTGCCTGTCCAAAGAGACAGCCTGTCTCATTCCAAAATGAGACCTTCACAAGTATCTTTGTTTTCTAGGATGCTGAGGTTGAGGTTACCCACATTTGAATATTCTTTCATCTTAGTTTCTGTGAGGTATTAATTACTATTGTGTGGATCCATAGTTGATTATAAATTTAATTAAGTCTCAAAATGTTGTCATACTCGTAACATTTTTGCTTCTATGACTCCTTGTATTTGTTTCTTGTAAACAGGATATTCTGTCTCAAAGCCACATGTAATTATCTTACTGGAGCAAGGTAAAGACCCCTTCCCAGTGGTGAGGGATGTGCCAGGAAGACAGGACCCAGGTAAGCAAGGGCTCGTCGGACAAGTGGACATCATCATTGGCAGCAAAGGCCAACTGGTCAGGGCAGAGGCTCAGGCTGTGCATGGCATGATAGCCTAAGACAGGAAAGGAAACAGTTTTGCTTAGCACAAACTACAAAAGAACTTTATCTCAGCTACCAACTATCATTTTTCTTCTTTCCCCCTTCGTATCACCTGCCATTTCAATAAGGAGAATGCTCTCTTGCTTCCCCAGTGCAACCTCTGCTTTCCATTCTCTTTTCTTTCACTTGTCCAGCAATGCCCACGCTGAGCCAAGCACTGTGCCAGAAATTAGCAATACTTTGATGACTAAAGCCTCCCCTACCACTAGTGGAGTTAACATTGTAGAATGGGAGATGTAAGTAAGCTGTAAACAAATGAATAGATAATATGACATTAAATTGTGACTCGTGCTACAAAGGAAAGGCATGAAGGGTAAGGAGATGGGGTTTTAGTCCAGTTAATTTAGGTGGGGTGTTCAGGAAAGGCTTTTCTAAGGAGGGGACATTTATGCATAGACATGACATAAGGGCTTAGGCCCTGTGACTGTCTGGAAGAAAATCATTCCAGGAGAAGGGAACAATGAGCTATGTGTGTGTGAGGAACAGGGAGAACCTCAGAGCAGTTCAGAGGGGAATGAGTATTAAAGAAGAGTTTAGTTGATCAGGAGCTAAGTTTTACCTAGTTTGCTTTTCTTAGTGAGGAACTTGGGTTTTCTGTTTCAAAGAGTAATTGAAGTCATAATCCAATACATGTTTTTAAATGGTCACTCTAGATGCTGTGTGGAAGTACAGCCATCAGCTAGCAGTGTACATCTGAGGTCTAGACTGGCTGTGATGGTAGCTTGGATTAGAATGACTGATGAAGTGTGATGAGAATCATCTTATGTTTTGCAATAGATGATGTAAAGATACCACAGGTTATGGGTGAAAGAGATGAGATGGCCAGCTAAATGGAACCAATTTACTGAGATGAAGCCACATGCCATGGTATGTGCCTGTAGTCCCACCTACTCAGGAGGCGGAGGCAGGAGGATCACTTCAGCAGAGTTGGAAACCAGCCTGGGCAAACAGATCCCCATCTCAAAAACCAGGACATAAATTACTGAGATGTAAAGACAAGAAAGATGGCTTGCATAATGGAAATGGAGTCCAGTTTTAGATATGCAGTCATCCCTCTGAATCCATGGAGGTTTCAGGGTCACCCAGTGATACCCAAATCCATGGACACTCAAGTATCCCATATAAAATAGCATAGTATTTGCATATAACCTACACATGTCCCCTCTAAGTCATTTCTGGATGACTTATAATAACTAATACAATGAAAATGCTACAAATGAAGTTGTTATACCATCTGGTTTAAGGACTACTCATGAGAAAAAGTTTGAGTATGTTCAGTATAGACGTGATTTTTTTTCAAATATTTTCAACCCACAGTCAATTAAATTGATCAATCTGGAACCTGTAGATACAGAGGGCCAGTTGTTATACCAACGAAGCCTATTTGTCATCAAGGCTGAGATGTGGAGCAGGCAGCTGAAGAAGCCAGCTTAGCACTCAGGTAGAAGTTAGGACTAGGTGCATACACTTGGGTATCCAGCATGGAACTGGATGAGATCACTTGGGGCTGATCTGACCTTCCACCTGTTTTTGTAAATAAAGCATTATTGGAGCAGAGTGATACCTACATGGATTAATTGCATATTGTCTGTGGCAGAGTTGAGTAATAAAGTATTTACTGTCTGGCCCATTATGGAAAGTGTGCTGACCCCCTCCTCTAGGAATGAGTACTGATAGATACAGGAGACCAGAGGAGACAGAGACTCCTCTGTTTGGACAGGTGCATTGGGTATTTTCAAGATAGGAGCTCTTGATCTGTTTGCCTGGGCTGGCCTCAAACTACAATCCTCCTGACCTCTGCCTCCTGAGTAACTAAGATTACAGGTGTGAGCCACCAACACCTGGCTTTTTCATGGATTTTAAGGAGCCAGAAAAACATGTATGTAATGACAGATACACAGCTTTCTCATTTCATTCTACAGTTAGAGTTCATTTACATTTAAAATTTTCTAGTTTCAAATATATATCACAAAATTTAGTCTGTACTCAACTTTTTTATTAAAGACATTAGTCTGATATACTTTATCTCAAATACACAATACATATTTGATTAGAAGTGATTTGCTGTTGGAGTGGCTCAAGTGGTAGAGCAAGCTTGAGGCCCTGAGTTCAAAACCCCAGTGTCATGAAAAAAAATGCAGTGATTAGAAGTGATTCTCAAAACATTGGTTCTTTGCAGAGATTCAGCACTATCATCTCTCTTGATCCACCATCCCTAGATTTCAACTGTGAATGCAGCTCCCTTAATCATAAATATTCTCATTCTTTAGTTTCTTGTATCAGCTAAGAAAAATCGCTATAAAACAATGACTAAATAGGCAAAAGTAGTTTAGATACAAGTAAATTTGTTTTCGGTTTTCTCTTTAATCAAACCTGTTAGCTTTCAGAAAGGAGAATGATACCACATTGTCTTATCATAGCTTTGGAGTTAATCTTGAAGTTGGATAGTGTCTGTCTTCTGATTTTTCCTCTTCAATGTTTTGTTGGCTCTCCCTAGTCTTTTGCCTGTCCATATAAATTTCAGAATTAGTTTGTTAAAATTCATGAAATAACTTACAGAGGAGACTGTATTGAATCCATAGATCCAGCTGGGAGGAGCTGCCATCTTGACAACATTGTGTCTTCCTATCTGTGTATATGAAACATATCCCCATTTGTTTATTCTTAGTCTTTCATCCAGTTTTGTACTTTTCCTCATATATATTTCATACATTGTCTGTTAAACTTAAATCTAAACATCTCACATTGGATAGGAAGATCTGAATGGAAATGGAAATGAGTTTTTAATTTCAAATTCCACTTGTTCGTTGCATGTGGATGAGAAATTGATTGACTTTTTGGTGGTACTGGAGTTTGAACTCAGGGCCTTGCACTTGCTAGGTAGGTACTCTATCACGTCTTCCAGGCCTCCCACCCAATTGATTTACTTTTGTGCATCGACTTTGTACCTTGATATAATCACTTATTATTCTAGGAGTTTATTTGTAACAAGTTCCCCAGATAATTCTGATCCACACCAAAATTTCAGAAACACTGATGTAAACTATTTGCCCCATCACCAAATCTTATATCTTAAATAGTCTTTCATTCCCTAAGTTCATACTGGCTGAATTCAAACTACAGAACCATAGTGTAAAGTTCTTTAAGACATTTACTTATCATGAGAACTAGTTTAACTTTGTCTCCTCTTTTGAAGATGGAAGCTTTATATTTTGCTGGGGAAATAATCTTTGTTTGCTCATTTGTTTTCCTTCAGGTTTATTTTCCAGGTCTGAGACTGACAAATTACCATCAGAAAAGGACATCAATGAGCTAAATTTATCCAACTTGGAGAAAATACAAATCAGTAAAACTCTTGGCCTTAATGAATCTATTTTGAGAAATGAGCTGCAGAGCAAAAATGAGTTGGATGGTCAACAGGGACCTCAAGAAAGGTATATCACTCAAATGAAAATCATCTGTAAGGATAAGCCAGCACGTGGAGAGGATCCATCTTCTACTCTGAATCAGAGAATTCACAATTCTGAGAACCCGAATGAAGACAGGGAATGTGGCTCCAACTCAGTTCAACTTGAAAAAATTCATTCCAACGAACACCATGATTGTCAAGAATGTGGGAATACTTTTAATAGTGTCTCTCAGCTTACTCTACATCAGAGAACTCATACTGGTGATAAACCCTATAAGTGTAAGGAGTGTGGGAAGCTCTTCGGTCGTAAGTATCAGCTTACCCGGCATCGGCGATTACACACAGGTGAAAAGCCGTATGAGTGTGAAGAGTGTGGGAAGGCCTTTAGCCTTGACACGCAGCTGAATCGACACCAGAGAACTCATGCCAGCGAGAAAGGCTATCGATGTAAACGGTGTGGGAGGGACTTTGTTAGCTTCTTAGAGCTTATTCAGCATGGGAAAAGCCACACCAGCGAGAAGCCATATGAATGTAAGGAGTGTGGAAAGGTGTTTCGACTCGGTTTATACCTTACAGAACATCAAAAACTTCATACAGGTGAGAAAACCTACAAGTGTAAAGAGTGTGGGGAAACTTTCAGTACGTGTGGACAACTTACTCAACATCAGGAAACCCATACTGGTGAAAAACCCTGTGAAAGGAAGGAATGTGGGAAGGCCTTTGGATGTGGTTCTTACCTTACTGAGCACAGAAAACCACAGGCAGGTAAGAAACCTTATGAGTGTAAGGAGTGTGGAAAAACCTTTAATGTGCGGGGACAGCTTAATCGGCACGAAACGATCCATTCTGGTGTAAAACCTTTTGAATGTGATGTGTGTGGGAAGGCTTTTGGTTATAATGGCGACCTTAGAGTACACCGTCGAATTCATTCTGGTGAGAAACCTCATCAGTGTAAGGAGTGTGGGAAGGCCTTTATGCTTCGTTCAGCCCTCACTGAACATCAGAGAATTCATTCTGGTATAAAGCCCTATGAGTGTAAGGAGTGTGGGAAGACCTTTCGTGGGCGCTCTCAAGTTAGTCTACATAAGAAATTTCATACTGACTTGAAACCCTACAAATGTGCAAAATGTGGGAAGACCTTCAGATTTGGTTTCTATCTTAGTGAACATGAAAGAATTCACACTGGTGAAAAACCCTACAAATGTAAAGAGTGTGGAAAGGCTTTTATTCGTAGAGGAAATCTTAAGGAACATCTGAAAACTCATTCTGGAGTAAAACCCTATGAATGTAAAGAATGTGGGAAGGCCTTTAGTTGGCGTGGACAGTTTACTCAACATCAGAAAATTCATACAGGTGTAAAACCCTACAAATGTGGAGACTGTGAGAAGGCCTTTAATCGTAGTGGAGACCTTAAAGTACATCGAAGAATTCACACTGGTGAGAAGCCCTATGTGTGTAAGGAGTGTGGGAAGGCCTTCCGACTTAATTCACACCGTACTGAACATCAGAGGATTCACACTGGTGAGAAGCCCTATGAGTGTAAGGAGTGTAAGAAGGCCTTCAGACAGCGTTCACACCTTTATCAGCATCAGAAAACTCATAATGTAACTTAGAAGAAGAAAGCCTTTCCATGCATGCTCTGCTTACAGAGTATCAAAATATTCATGTGGGAAAAATTTAGTCAGTGTCTTTCTTTAGATATGTTTACTTAATAAATACATAAGAGCCTTAGTCTCTACTAAATTTTAAAGAATTCATACTATAAAATAAACATATTAGCATAAAAATATTGGGAAGTTTTCTAAGCAATGATACAAATATTATCATTGCCTTCCCACTACTCTTCTATCTGTGTGATATCAGGAAAAACATTTATCTGATGGTGCCTTGGGTGAAAATGATACCCACACCTAAAAGTGTGGCTATTAGTTTATAGTATGTCTGATACTGCTTAAAGTATCTGGTGAAAAAAACCTATTTTGAGTTAATGCTGGATATTATTTTTTTATTATCAAGCACTATGATTACTGAATGTCTTAATGGAAAGATACAGTAGAGGAAACAAATTTATAAAAACCACTTGTCATTTACTGTATTTCAGGAAATTCTTCAGTAAAAAATCTGTTGTGGACTAAATGTGGCAAATTCATAGCTTGAAACCCAAATTCCAATGGAGGGATTTGGAGATGGGGCCTTTGAGATGTAATTACTTCAAGAGGGCAGATCCCTCATAAATGGGATTAATTCCCTTATTCTTATAAGCTAGCTAGACATCTTTCTTCCTCTTTATCTCCTTCTCTAGCTCTTTCTCTCTTTCCTTCCTTCTTCTCTCCCTCCCTCCCTCCCTTCCTTTGTTTTTGTTTGTATGTTTGGTTGGTAAGTCTTTTGAGACAGGTTCTCACCTTAGAGCCCAGATTGGCCTCAAACTCTCAGTACTGCCTCATCCTCCCAAGTGCTGGGATTACAGGCATCCACCACCATAGCCACCATGTTCACCCTGGTTTCAAACAATGAGAAATCAGAAATACAGAATAGGACCCTCAACAGAATCCAAGTATCCTAACACTTTGATCTCAGACTTCCAGCATCCAGAACTATAAGAAACAAGTTTCTGTTGTTTATAAGACACAAAGTCTACTGTTTTGTTTTAGCAACCTAAACTAACTTAGACTCTCATGTCATAATATGTAAAGAAAGATCTTTCCTCAGACTTCATTGCTTAAATCCTACTAGAAAAGTAAGACTGGGAAAAAACCCTAAGGATTTGGTTAAGGATAAGCTACTGAAGCATGAAGGAGAGACAAAAAAGAATTTATCTGTAATAATGTGGAAATTATAATGATAACAAGAAGACATCTATCTATAATTTTTTACCCCACTCTGTTTTATACACTTTCTGACAATGAGAAACTAAAGATGACACTCATTGTCCCTCCACCTAGATTTGAAAATTTACACTTTGCATGCATGTTTTGTTTTTCTATAAATACATTTGTTTTGGCTGTGCCATTTGTGAGTACATCACTTTACCCCTATATAAATTGGCTCGTATCTCCTAAAAGTCAGAGTATTACATATAACTCAAATACTGTAATCACACCTTAAAATTTAATTCTGCCATAAAATCTTGTATATGCAGTCCATATTCAAAATTTCCTAATTGTTTCAAACATACATTTGATAAACACTTACAGAAAGAGAATTTGTTTTCCAGAGTCATGCATTTACATTTTGGTTATTCTGTCACTTTTAAACTGTCCTGGTGTCTGTGTTTCCTGAGATGGACTTTTTGGAGCATCCATCAGCGTTGTAGACTGTCCTGTATTCTAAATTTGTCTAATATATTTTGTCATACTATTGTTCATCTTGTTCCTCTGTCTCCAAAGTAGAACTTAAGTGAATGTTGTCTTAGCTTCTGGTTAGCCATGTGTAACACAAACACTTCACAGGGATAGTGCAGTTACACACACAGGAGTCTGTAGTGCCAGGTTGTCTCTTATGTGGTGCCAAACTTGATCACCGGTTGACATGGTGACTGCCAGGGCTCCCTATTATAAAATTGTTTTCTTTGTACTCAGTAATTGGGTGACATCATACACCCCTTCTTGGGAATTTATAATCAATCACCTCTATGTGTAACGCAGTCATGGATTAAGCTGAAAAACAAAATATAAACTGTAAACCCTTCAGAAAGGAGTGATAATGAAATATCTAGGTACTGAATTTCGGGGATGGGGCTAACGCTCTCCTCAGTGGGAAGCTGGTGTGCCTCAGTGCACACAGGACACCACAGCTGAGATAGAGCATTTCCGTCTTCAGCATCTTCTGCTGTCTTTTTTATGTAGTAGATACTGAATGAAATTTGGAAAAAAGATGACTATTCAACTCAGATACTTCATACATAAAGGTACAAAATAACTCGAATGATGAGAAAAAGGATTTTATGCAATTAAAATCAGAAATTAAGTAATAACGAACAGTAAACTAGTGGACTTATCCATGATTCCAAATTTGATAAAAAAGAAAGATGGCACACAGCTACATCATGAATAAAAAAAGATATTACCACAGATATGTTTTTAAACCATAAGAACATGCTGCTACTGTAATATATATAAAATTCTCTAGAATATGTACTTCATTGAAATTCATACATAATCAAGTATAAATTGGTCAGTAAATAACTGAAATTTTAAATTTAGCCCAATAATCCTTCATACACAGCAGCAGCATCTGTTAGCATGCTCTGTTTTTGTTGTTGTTTTGTGGTACAGGGTTTGAACTCAGAATCTACACCTCAAGCCACTCTACTGTCCCTTTTTTTATGATGGGTTTTTTTGAAATAGGGTCTTGAGAACTATTTGCCTGGGCTGGCTTTGAACTGTGATCCTCCTGGTCTCTGCCTCCTAAGTAGCTAGGATCACAGGCGTGAGCACAGCTCATGCTCTGTTTTTTGTTGGATAAAAACATTCAAGGAGATAATCCTGACTAGAATTGTCCCAAACCCATACCACAGAGATGACGTAATCCAACTGGCAAAACTAGAGAGACTAATTACTAAAAAAAAAGCTGAATGAGTTCTAATTAAGGAGAAAAGTCAAAATGCTAAATAAAAATGTCAGCAAAATGCTATAAAACAATTATACAATAAATACTTCTGTAACGTCCAGGCAATGGAACTTTCTGATTCTGGACATATTGAGCTTAATGGTAACAAAAAAGAATAATTGGTCCAATTTCATTATATTCTAGATTCATTCTGTTAGGTTTATTTTCATTACGTACTGTACTGATGTCATCCATGGTAAAAAGCATTCCATTTTAACATTCTAAACATTATGAAATTATACAGGCAATAGTTCCCTATGTTTACTTTAGATAACAGCCAAAATGCCTTTTTACGAAAAGCTTTCATTGATATTATTTGATAAGATCAACATTGTGACAACATCAACACATCGCATATCTAATGAGATCTAGTGTATACATGTAGGTATATACCCAAATCAGTCACATGGCTTATTTGAATTTATTTCTCTAGGAGAAAATTTTCCTGAAAATAACTGTTAGGACAAAGGCTTTTTAATATTGTTTCCATTTGAATTTTAATAAGTGGTATTGGGATTATTACACACACATACACCCACCACACAAACACACACACACACACACACACACACGCTCCCCTCCTAAAAATCTAAACAATTTTAGTGAATCAGAAACAATGGAGAACAGCTGAAATTCAGGAAGTATTTGGCATTAGATATCTAAGGAAACCAGAAAACAAAACTCACAAGCAAGTGTGTACCACTCTAGGAGGTGAATGTGACATAAGTAGGGAAAACTTTATCTAAGGTTTCCCACAAGGAGCAGGAGTGAAGACAGTGACAAAAGGGAGGGAAGTTGCTGGGGGAAGCAATTTGACCTGCACATCACCCTTCCTTAAACCAGTTAGCAAGTACCATTCTCTGCTGCCATGAGGACTACGAAAGGCCAGTGACTGGCAATGCCCAGGAGGAGTAAGCAAGAGCATCCCTGTTCCTTGCTGGCCATGGATCCTGCAAGACGCTAGCATGTTGCCACACTATCTCTGAAGACAAGTCAGAGCACACATCAAAGCAGCACATCTCACTGCTACACTGGAGCTGGCTGCATCCAAAGGATCTTCAGCCAGGCCTGGTGGCACACACCTATAATCCCAGCACTCAGGAGGCTGAGGGAGGAGGATGGTGAGTTTGAGGCCAGTCTGGGCTATACAGTAAAACTCTATTGCAAAAAAAATTCAATGAAAAGAATACTGAACTGTAAAACTCTAGGGAGTAAGAAGAATCTGACTTCTGGAGTTGCCACATTATAATATTCAACATGTCTAATTTTCCACAAAACAATTAGGAGGCATTCAGACAAGAAGTGTGGTCCACATAGGGTAAAAAATTAATAGAAACTGTCACAGAGAAAACATAGTAATTAGACTTATGTAAGTCTTAAATATGCTCAATGAACTGAAAAATGCATGAAAAACTAAATGAGATGATAAGAATGATGTGTCAACAAATAAAGAGAAGGAACAAAATAGTCTGGAGTTGAAAAGTGCAATAACTGAAATGAAAATTTCTCTAGAGGGGCTCGTCAGCAAATGTGAGCAGGCCAAAGACCGGAAAGACAGTAAATATGAAGACAGAGCAATTGAGACCATTGAGTCTGAGAAACAGGCAAAAAAAAAAAAAAAAAAAAGATCCTCATAGACCAACTGTGTATCGTGAGACCTAAGATCACTCACTGGGAGAGTGATCCAGAAGTTTCTCAGAAGCAGAGAAAGGAGCAGAAAAAATATTTGAAGAATTAGTGACTGAAGGTTCCCCAAATTTGATGAAAAACATAAATTTACATATCCAAGAAGGTAACTAAATCCCAAATAGTATAAACTCAAGAGATACTGAGCCATGTGATAATTCAACTGTTGGAAGAGAATCTTTTTTTGATTTTGTCTGATTAAGGGTGGTGATTGAGCTCAGCACTCCATACATGGTAAACCCATCCTGCAACACTGAGCTGCACTCCCAGCCTCAGAAGAGAATCTCTTTTTTGAGATAGAGGCTCACTATGTAGCCCAGGTTGGCCTCCAACTAGGTATGATCCACCATGCCTGGCTAAAAAATGGATTTTTAAAAAATTTTTAAATGGTTGCACTCTATGCCATTTACTTGAGACTCAGTTTAAATTCAAACACACAAATTGAAAGTGGATGATTCTTTGTAAACATAACAAAGAAAGTTGGGGTGGCTAGAACAAATATCAGAAAAATAGACTCTAATCCAATCATTGTTACCAGAGATAATGAAAAATCTATAATAAGAGTCAATCCATCAAGAACAAATAAAAATTATAAACATACATACCTACCAACAGCACCTCAAAACATGAAGCAAAACCTAACAGAACTGAAAGCCAAAAACAATAATTGGAGTCTTCAACACTCTACTTTCAGTCATGGATACAATAAGTAGACAGAAAACCAGCAAGAAAACAGAACTTGAACACAATACAAATGAAGTACACCTGATGGACATACGTGGAATACTCCACCCAACCATAGAAGGCATGTTCTTATCAAGTACATGGAAGATTCTCCAAGGTGGGTGATGTTAAGGCCACAGAGCAAGTCTCAATAAATTTAAAATCACTCAAAACCATACAACGATGGACACTGCTCAGCAGTAAAATGGAATGGACTGTTTATCATGTAACAGCTTAGATCTCAAGAACATTATGCTGAATTCCAAAAGGCAGTTTCAAAAGGTTACATACCGTGTGATTTCATTGATGAAATGACAAAATTAGAGAAACAGATTAGTGGTTCTCAGGGA